CACCCAAACGGAAGCACCTGTGGTTGGAGGGGCCACACCTCTCAACAATTGGCTTCTGATTCCTCAGGGTCCCTGTCCCCTGCAGTCCCTCCCCTCAGGGGTGGCTGGCAGGATCCCAGCTTGGGCGGTGGCCCCCCTGACCTGTCCCTGCCCCTTCCTGCTTGCTTTGATGTAGGCCCACTTCCTTTGACAGGAACCCCCTCCCTCAGAGGCTGGTAAAAGGCAGAAGGCCACGGTGAGGCAGTGTGCGGCACCTCCTGCAGACAGAGGACTCTTCCCAAGGCCCTGTCTCCCAACCCTTGTACCAGTGCTGAGCTTCAGACCCTGGTACAGGCCTGGGGGGCAGGGACCTGGGGACCCCAGCAGCAGCAGCTCCAGCACCTCCCTCCAGGTCTGTCCCCTTCCCACATACCTGGGGATGCCTTGGGTCCTTTTCCTGAGTGGGTATCCCCACCACTCCCACTACCCTGGGGCCCTCTTCCCATATACCAAGTCATCTGTCTTCCCTGTCCTGGGAACTGGTGGTAGGCAGCGGCTCTCTGGAAGTGGCCATTCAAACAGACTGTTGACACTCAAGTGGACAGCCTGCCTCTACCTAGGTGGCTCACCTGCAAGGCTGTCTTCCTCTCCAGCTGCGGGGTGGGGGCATTGTGTCAGACTGCCCCCTGGGGCACTCTAAGGCTTGACCTCAATGAGGTCAGGGGTGGCCTCACTTCCTCTCCAGGGACTGGGAGGTGAAGGGTAGAGGCCAGTGGCATCAAATAACTAACTGACCATGTCTACTTGGACGACAAGATTTATCAAGGCTTAATTTAAAAAAAAAAAAAGAGCCTTAACTCAGGTGGTGGTGCACGCCTTTAATCCCAGCACTGGGGAGGCAGAGGAACCTCTGGGAAACAGGTGAAGGAAAGGCAGATCAGAGAAGCCCTCAGGGGCAAGCCCACTGTGGCCCAGAACAGAGACTCCACACCTGTTTTGTAGCCAGAAAATAACTTTATTTGTCCCAGGTCAGAACTTCTGGAACTGCTTCTTGGTGCCAGCGGCCTTGGTGACCTTGAGCACGTTGAAACGCACGGTCTTGCTCAGGGGCCTGCACTCTCCCACAGTGACAATGTCGCCGATCTGTACATCCCTGTGGGGTTACACAAGAGTCTTCAGGAGGGACCCGAGCACTCCCTGGATCCCCACTGAAAGGCTGCGGGTCCCCTCCTCGGCTCCACCCACCACAGTGGCCATTCAGGTGGTTGCTAAGAGCAACCTCCCAGACACTTATCAGTGGCCTTGCCTCTGGTTCCTCAGCAGTCTACACACCTGACTAAGCCACTCTGCTCACAGGACACCCCAGCTTCTCCCCAAAATCGCCCTTAAGGGCTCCCCCACCTGATTGACACAGGTGCTTGTCTCAGGTTGTGCCAGGTTAGTAGAGAACTGTGCTCACCTGAAACAGGGGGACAAGTGCACGGACATGTTCTTGTGGCGTTTCTCAAAGCGATTGTACTTTCGGATGTAATGAAGATAGTCCCGGCGGATGACAATGGTCCTCTGCATCTTCATCTTGGTCACGACACCTTGAGGAAGGGGGGGAGGCGGGGAGATGGTGTTAGCAGGCCAAGGTTAATTCACCCCGCAGGCAAAGAAGCTGTTGAATGGGGCTCCCAAGAAACCCTGCTTCTGGCATCAGTTTTGCCAACTGGCTGTCTCAGCAGTGCCCTTGGGGCTGTCTGAAGACCATCGTGAGAACAGACATCATCTGCCGGGGACCTGCATTCACAAACTCAGTTTTTTACTCACCGGACAGGATCCGACCTCGGATGGAGACGTTGCCAGTGAACGGGCATTTCTTGTCAATGTAAGTGCCCTCGATGGCCTGAAAGGATGAGAAAGTGCAGCTTGAACTACCAAACTACAATTCCCACGAGCCCCGGAGGCAGCCACTCCGAAAAGGGCGCGGTGGCCCTGCTGCCACATGCAAGGCCACACGAGTCTCATCTGCTGCAGGGTCTTGTACCTCCTTGGGCGTCTTGAAGCCTAGACCGATGTTCTTGTAGTACCGAGGGAGTTTTTCCTTGCCGGTTTCTCCAAGCAGAACACGCTTCTTGTTTTGGAAGATCGTGGGCTGCTTTTGGTACGCACGTTCGGTCTGTAGGGACAATCGCTCGGTGAGCTCACCTGTCCACACTGGCACGCTTCCACCCCTTAACGCCAGCGCCACGACCACCCTAGACACACGACCAGCCTAGACACAGAATCACCCTAGACACACAACCACCCCGCATCTGTTCTAGCGTCCACACCAGGTCCAAACGTTTCCCGTCTTAAGGCCCGAATCCCGGCCTTTCAGCACCGCCGTCCCGAGCACACGCGCTCGCCCTCGGGAGCCACACCGCACGGACACGCAGCCCAGCATGGTGGGCCGGGGTGCGGGGCAGCCCCGCGTCCACAGCACCGACCCCATCGAGCCGGCGCTCACCCTCACGCTGCCCCACAGGACTGACGCCCAAAGCGCCTGAGACCCCACGGCTGTGTAAGCCCGGGACGTCGGAAGGCACAGGGCAGGCGCCCTCGCTCCGGCTAATTCGGAGGATGACGGAGACGGCAGAGAAGGAGACCCACGCTAGCCTAGGCGCCAGCCCTCAGCACGAACCTGAATGTCCGCCATCTTCCCGGCAGCCTGAGGAAAAGAGAGGTGGACCAACTCCCGGGTTTCCTTCTTCACTACGCGAGGTCCGGAGCGGAAGTGACGTATTGCCAGTCCTGCACGGATTTAGGGGGCACTTCCGGTGCAGAGCACGCGATTCTGGAACTGTCCGTACGCCGCCATGATAGTTGAGGACTATGGGGACCAGAGTGGAGCCTATCATCTCGCGAGATCTCAGGAGGCCATTGCCGGGGATGGGCAGGCTGGGAAGGGACTTCCTGCGGTGCCGCGAAAGCAGCAGGGCGGGGTCAGGTTTCTTCGGGAACGGGAGTCACGTGGAATGTAGAATCGCGTGGTGGGCTCAGATTCCTGGGGGAGGCGGCGGTGGCCATGTTTTCCGGCTCACGTTATAGCTTTCTTTCCTTTATTAAAGTGTCGTCCACGTGTACCGGCGGCATGGCCTCTGTGGACCGCTCCTGACACCATCGTGGCCCTCCTGCAAACCACCCAGACTGGAGCTATAGGAGCCAAGTTTCTTTGCTTGTTGAGTGTCCATTCCACCCCCATTCCCTCTGGGTTTTTGTCCTGGCTACCTTTGGAGAGGACCACACCCCTCGGAAACGGAGGGACGCCAATCATTAAACTCAGGAGGCAGGAAAAGCTTTGTGCCAAATGGAGTTAGAAGGATTTTCCCGGCTATATCCAGGACAGTAAAGGCTACTGTCAAGATAGAATAACGTTTTGCAAATGGTGTTGGGATTCCTTTAATGCCAAGCACTCAGTTCCGTTTCAGACCAGCTAGGGCCATCTAGTGAGACTGCCTAGCGAAGCAAGCGACCTTCCATCCACCTAGGGGCAGCATAAAGAGGAAGGGATTTTAGATGTGTCTTTCTGGGATGTTACAATTTCGCCAAAGATTTAATATGTAAAGGATTTGATGTTTGTTTTTTTTTTAATCACCAAGAAAACAGACCCAGTGTGTGACAAACCATAAGCAAAATTATTTTAAGCTGGACGTGTTCATGGTCAACTGTTTACCACCCAACACCTCGAAAGCTGAGGGACAGAGGTCAACCCTACCCTAAACAAACTTGACCACTGACAGGATTCCTCCTCTACCCTGCACCAGCTAACTAGTCCAGGCGGGCCAGTTCAGCCATCCCAAAATTACAACCGTACATTACCACGTGGCCTTTTTTTCTGTGACAGTGTGTCTATTAAGTAAACCTGTAGTTGATTGAGGACGTGGCTCAGGGAACCACTATCAATTCTACATTTCAAACGCCCTCAGTTGCATGGTGGGTCTCACCTTTCATCCCAGCACCTGGACACATAAGGACCTCCAGCTTTGAAATCAGCTTGGACTACAGAATTGGTTCCAGGATAGGAAGCTACAGGGAAACAAACCCTGTCTCCAAAACTCAACCTCAGAAGCCAAGTTCCTGGTCATATGGTAGAACGTAAGGATGATCGAGACGTGCTAGCTGCCTAGGATACCTTTAATTGACAGTCTTTCTGATAGCCCTGACTCTCCTGGAACTCTGTAGATCTGCCTGAAAGGTGCGCACTGCCACCTGTAATCTCTTATCTGGTGTAGGCTGGTGGGAATTTGAGATTCCCACTAGGGCCAGGTTAGATCTCCTGGAGTTAGATGGTTGTGAGCCACCAATAAGGATGTCCCTTAAATAAACCCTTCATACCTTTACATCTGAGGAGCCATTTTAAAGTTTAGTTTGACCTCCCTTCCCTGGTTGGCACTGTTCCAACTAGCCTCCCCAGCCTTAACTCATTTAGGGCAGAGTTCCTGAAGCCCATGTGCTAGTGGCAATCCCATACTTCTGAAGCTGAATTTGAGTTAGTAAGTAAAACTATTTCAGGAAGGACCCATGGGAAGATTTGTTTGCACCTTTTGAGCAACGAAGCACCTTCGTGCCTTCAACAGAAGAGCAGACCACAGCCTGAAAATTCCAAATTTTTGGTCCCGTTGTTGGTACCCCTCTGTTCCTGCCTATATAGCAGACATAGTGCAAAGATACCAGTTTTCTTTAACAGTCAAATAATTTATTAGCAACAGAATGCTGCAGCAAAAAGGAAAATTGCTTTCTGAGCAGCGCTGGGAAGGGGAAAAGGCAGTGGCTTCCCAGTGTGCACTTCTGAATCCCAGCCCAGATGTTAGGTCTCCATCCTCACAGCTGCAGAATACATTGATGGGCTGAGCAGCCCAGTCATTAACACTAAAGCCCAAGTAATTCCAGCTCAGAGCTTTTATAAAAACACCCTCTTTCCCACAGGAGCAGTGCCTAAAGCACCTTTGTCTCCACTTCCCTAGTCGGCGGTAGAGGAAGAGCAGGCCAGGCAGGCATGAGGCACAAAGAGTCTTTATTGGGCTCACACAAGGAGTCCATTGGTCTTGAGAACCTCTGTGAACTTGCAGATTTTCTTCTCCACGTTCTTTTCCGCCTGTTTCCGTAGCCTCTGTGGGGTAAAGACAAGTAAGTGATAGTGAATGCCTGCTCCTCTCCCAGAAGCACCCTCACCCAGGGCTGCAGCCCCGTCCTCACCAAGAGCTGCTTCTTCTTCCGGTAGTGCATCTTGGCCTTCTCCTTCCGCTTCTCCTCCAGAGTGGCTGTCACTGCCTGGTACTTCCACCCGACCTCATGAGCCAGACGCCCCAGGTAAGCAAACTGCAGGGGCACAAAGCTGTAAGGACATGGAAGGTGCCCCGGCAGCACAAGGATGAGCTAGAGAACCCTAGAGATTCTATTAAAGGACACATTCCCTTCCCCCACAGGAGCCCCTCCTGGCATCAGTTGAGCCCATGGCATTATCGGCACTGCCCATCAGCGGCATCCGCAGACCATCGTGAGAAAATAGCCATCATGTGCCAGTCTTGAGGTCCCCCCAGCCCACTCTGCAATTTGGAGCTTACCTTCCTGGTAGGCTTCAGCCGCACAACCTTGAGGGCGGCAGGGACCACCATCCGCTTTTTCTGTTAGGGAACGAGAGGGGCTCAGAGACCTGTGAGCAACACCTGGGAAGGAGGCTGCTGGGGCAGGCGTCTCAGCCAGTGGCGTTTTCATGAGGCTCAAACAATGTAGGTAATAGAACATCACAGACGCTGGTCGCACAGAGGCTGTGAGGCTAGGCTTGCAAGGCTCACCTTGTCATAGGGTGGAGGGATCCCATCCAACACCTTGAGGCGTTCCAGGGCAGCCTGGCCTCGCTTGGTCTTGTGGGGCAGCATGCCTGGAACAACAGCAGGCCTCCTTTTCAGAGGGGCTGAAAGCCCCGCCCTAGGCCAGAGCAGGGCAAAGAGCCAGCCTCAGATGGTAGTGCATGTGGAGTCATCTCACAGTTGGGAAACTCGAACACGAGTGGGAGAGATCCTCATCACAGGCTGCCAAATACCCGCCTTCCACGTAGCCCACAGGCCCAGCTCACTCACCTCGCACAGTGCGCCAAAAAATGCGGCTCGGGGCTCGGAAATGGTAGGGGCCTCGGGAGGGGTTGGTGTTCATCCGCTTTCGGAGAAAGGCCAGATACTTCACTGTCAACAGAAAAGGTGGGTGACGCCTCCTCAGTCCCAGAAACAGCTCCTAACTAGAGATCTGTTTTTGCAGGACAAGTCAGTGCCCCATCTGGAGACCATCCCTTAGCCCTAACTCACACTTGTTTCTGTAGAAGTTTCCGGAAATGTTGATGCCCTCACAGCGAACAACGACCACCTTTCGGCCTAGAAGAGAATGTGGGTTGTAGACAGTCAGGAAAGTTACACCTAACACCCAGCAAAACCAGCTCGAATGGAAAGCCAATCTCCTGCTCTAAAAATCCCTTGAGCCAGGAGTCCAGAACACGGAGGGGCTGGCAAGTCTCAGAGCGGTGCATGGGTTGATCTCACAGTCGTGAGACTCAAACGAAAGATGGTGATTGTTGCTCATCACTGACTCCCAGGCCAACAGGGAAATCCTGAAAGAAACTTACCCAGCAGTACCTGCTTGGCCACAATGGCCGCCAGGCGACCCAGAAGATGGCCTCGGCCGTCCAACACCAGAACCTGCGGGAGACAGAAAGGCTCAGGGGGCAATCTGGCTCTCCCTACGAGCTACCAACCACTCCTGCGCCTTTCCCCACAGGATGCCAGATGAATAAGCCAAGGCAGCCTCGGCTGGCCCAGCACGGGGAAGGGAGACTTCAGGTGCCTGCAATTCCTTAGCTGAGCGAGCTTCACCGTACTCTCTACCAAGCCTCAAATTACTGGATAGCTGGGATCTACTGGCTCCTGTGGGAATGCCCTGTACTACAACGAAATTTGACACTAAGACTTGCTTTTGGGTAAGTTTAGGCCACAGTGGCTCTGCATCAGAGTCTCAACGTGCTCACGAGAACAGAAACCATCCTAACAGTATAAAGCAAATCCTTTTAACTCCGTCTACAATGGCTGGCTGTCCTGTCTAGTAATTCGGGCAAGAAGCGAAGAGGTCTGCAACTCTCAATACATGTGCCTGACATGTGCCGACAGCCCAGCCCAAACTACAGGGGACAGCCACACAAGAACCCCCTTCCACAACTGTCTTCCTAGAGAGATCTTCAGGGTACCAGACTTCTCCAAATGGGAACTTTTAAACGTCTAAAATTAACGTGAAACGTGCAATTCGACTCCTGACTAGCCACAAAAATCACGATGCTTCTGCTCAGTCTCCCGAACAGCTGACTTTACCCTACTGAAGATTTTAAGAAGGAAACCGGCCACCCCAAAAATCACAAAAGCAGGCGCCTCCGTTTCAGCATTTCCCATTACCTAGGAACCACATGAATGTACAAACACAGCAACGTGCACCCTACGCTCCTCGCATCCCAACAGCCCGGGATAAAGCCTGAAGGAATTCTTTGCGGGTGTTGGGAACCCAAGCCCCACTCCCGTCTTCCCCAGGGAAACCGTAGCATTCTCGGCGCCCCATACCTAGACATCGCGGCTTGCTATGCTCGCGTTACACACTCCCCTCGCGACAAGAAACTTTCTATTTTGCTTAACTGCCGCCCGTAAGTCCCACGGCACAGGAGGCGTGGGGCACAGGCCCCGTGCCGCTCCCGCCCGAAACCCACCCGTCCCCCTCACCGCCCAGCAAGCAGAGCCGACCTGCCCCTCCGCCATCTTCGGCAGCCGCCTGGGAAAGGAGGAGGTCTTGGCGCAGGGTTTCTTATCCCTTGCTGCAGGGGCGGAGGAAGTGACACAAGCTGGGCCGAACTAAAGGATTTCCGTCTTCTCATTGGTCGAAGCGGTGTGCATGCGCAGACTGGAAGGTGGGTCATCTTTTTATTGTCCAATCAGGACACCGTTTGAGTTAGCCCTTGGCGGCCATGACTGTGCGGGGCGGGAGATCACGTGGGTCCCGAGGAGGCTTCCCCGGGACAAGGCCGTCCAGCCCCGGCGGCCATATTTTGGAGGGAGTGCTCTTCTCCACTCGGAAGGCCTCTGTGTGGGCCGCCATTGCTCCCCTCCAGTAACGACGGTTGCAGAACACGTGGTGGCCATAAGGGGGCGTGCATCAGTCCTGGCCGGCTCACCCGCGTTTCGTTTGAACCATAGCGGTTAGCGTTTCCTCTCTTCACCCTCATGGTGTGCAAGACAATTACCGGCCTTTTCTGAGCCTAGCAGTCTCCCAGTATTAAACAGGTGGAAATAGTTATCGAAGATAAGAGTTCGGGGAGCCGGGCGGTGGAGGCACACCTTTAATCCCAGCGGATCTATGTGAGTTCGAGGTCAACCTGGTCTACAGAGGGAGTTCCAGGACAGGCTCCAAAGCTACAGAGAAACCTCGTTTCGAAAACAAAGCAAGCAAACAAAAAGAGTTGGGGGAAAGTTCCTGAGCTGCATCCATCTGCTTCTGTTTCCAAAGGCTTTGCATTAGCTGTGCACATTATCTGCGATGCCCTCCCTGCTCTGCACCTATAGCCCCCCAAAGCAAATAAAAAGCCAAACAAGTCGATTTGGCAGTCTCCGTGACACATTCCAGCTTGAGTCGATTCTACCTGGAGTCTCCAACACTTGGCTTTCCTGCCACTTTGCTGTCATGATCTTGGGGAACTGGGCTGTTCCTGCCTCACATCAGGGTTCTATGGAGCACTACCCAGCGCCGAAGCAGGGCTACTGGAGGCCTCAGAAAACAAACAGGACCTTTTGTCGTTGGTTTTGGCTTTTGACGTAGGATTTCTGCAATTCAGGCTGGTCTTAAGCTTGAGATAACTGCCTCAGCTTCTGGAGAGATGGGATTACATCACCAAGCACCGCAAAATCCTGAAACCTAAAATAGCCCCCCCACTCCCTGTCCCATGCACAGACAGGTCCGGAAGAACTTGTAAAAACCATTTATATACAAGTTAATGGGGGCAAGGCCTTTGTACAGAGTGGGGTGAGTGGGGCTTTTGCTGGATTCTGATGTTGACTCCATCCTGGGGAGAGAGCTGGAGTGGCCGCGCAGTCCAAGAGGGGGCCAACCTCCACCCAGCTTCCCCTGTGTCCAGGCTGTGCGGCGTCTGTCAGGTGAGTCCTGCTTTGCCTCAGTATCCTTCTCTGTAAAATTGATCGATAGTCTGTCTGAGGACTGGCGTTTGGTCCGCGCTCTACGTTTGAACCACGCCCCCGCCACGCCCCTTTCAAGCAAGCCCTCTACCACTAATCTACATCCTCCTAACCCTCTCCACTTCTCCCATTCCCACCCCACCCCACCCGGTTTAGGTTCGTCTGGGATTTCTATGTACTAGTAGATAACCCAGAATCCTTGCCCTTTTGCCTCTTCTCCAGTGTGCGGGGACTACAGACTTGACTACAAAATCTGTTCCAAGGGTTTTTTTGTTTTGTTTTTGTTTGTTTGTTTGTTTGTTTGTCTTTCCAAAGGGAGTCTCACAGCCAGGCGTGGTGACACACACCTTTAGTTCTATCACTGAGGAGGCAGAGGCAGGTGGATATTTGTCTAAGCCAGCCTGGTCTACACAGCAAGTCCAAGTCAGGTAGGGCTACCTGAAACCCTGTTTCAAAACAAACAAATCATGGCCCTCAAGCTGACTTAAAGAATAAAAGGCCTCTGCCTCTGAGCCTGTCACCCTGAGTTCCCCGGGGACCCATCTGATGGAAGGAGAGAAGTGGCTCCAGCAAGTTGTCTTCCCACTAGTGCACAGGCACAGTGGTGCACATAGGCCACCATGCGGAATTATTTTTAAATTTTTATTTATTTTGGGGAGGCTTGAGTGTAATTTAAAAAAAAAAAGAGCAATTACTCTCAGGTGTGAGAGTACACACCTGTGGTCCCAGCTCTCCAGGGGTAGAGGCAGGAGGATGGATTACCCAGGAGTTCCAGGCCACCTGAGCTACATAGACACCATCTCAAAAAATAGTAAATAGAGTTGGTATTACAGACATGTGCCACTATGTCTGATAAATGTTGTGTGTTTCAGAAACAAGCCCAGAAATAGGAAACCACAAAGTTTAGACACTGTTCCTCCATCTAATTGTTTTAACTAAGCCAGCAGGGAGCCCGTTTCCCCGCAGTGAGAATATTAGTGCAGATACAATGTTTCCAGTGGCAGTGTGGCTGGCTGCAGCTATAGATGGAACCCGGAGCCTTTCTTGTGTGAGCTCCCCCAGCCCCGCCCAGCATTCCCCCAGCCCCGCCCAGCACTGCTACTCTTCAGTGTTCTAAGTTCCCAGGGCTGGCCTTGCTGTTTAAACCCCTCTGCCTCAGCCTCTCGACTACTAAGATTTCAGGCAGGCAGCTCCACGCCCAGCAGCCATTTTTTATTTTAAGGAGATGGGATGACAGAAGCAGCCACACAGAGCTACAGTGTCCTCTCTTTCTCTTTCTTCCTTTTTGCTTTTCTTAAAGTCAGTATTTTCCAGCTTCAGCATCGCCAGCTCAGAAGTACTGGAATGTTCATCACCATTCCTGGACATTGTGTCCTCTGGCAGGGCATGGAGTTCAGTAGCACAGTATTTGCCTAGCTTTTTCCTTGTTTGGTTCCCAACTCTAACACCGAGAAAACCAAGAAAAAAGAAAAAGAAAAGCCTTGTTGTATGTAACATGCCTGTGGGCCCAGCTATTAGGAAGGCAGGGGCAGGAAGATTCACCAAGGTGTTCAGAGTCAGGTGGGCAACATAGTGAGACCTCATCTGCAAAAACATCAGGGTCACTGATTGAGTTGCTTTGTGTGTCTCACAATGGCCTTGAACTCACCGTGTAGCCCAGGATGGCCAGACCTTGCAGCAATCCCCCTGCTCTGGCCTCTCGAGTGCTGGGGTTACAGGTGTGGCCTCATATGAGAGGGATTATGGATGCCTGCAGGGGGCCTCACCTTCTTGCCTGCCTCCGCGCTTGCTCTCCCCACACCAGACTCTTCCCTCACACTTCCATGGCTCTTTGCTGCCTTGTGATAGTGACGACTTCGGAAATCCCCTGAACTTTGTGACACTGGAAGCTTATCAAAGACTGTTCTTCCCTAACACACACCACTCCCCAGAATTCCTGCCCCTCCTATGACATAGTGAGCCCCCCAATCTTGGATTGACTCTGTATCCCCCAAGCCTGGCCATTCCATGCTCTGGTAGAAGCAGAAGACTCACCGAGACAAGACCTTGGCGGAGTCAACGCTGCACAAGTTTCATATTCTAGGGATGGGAGGTGAGGGGCACCTGAGGCCCCACAAAGTCAGCCTCAGTACACCCGCAAGGCCACCTGCCACCCTCATCCCTCACCACCCACGCCACCCAACTGCCTGGACTCTCGACTCACCCCAGGGTGGTGCACTGTCCTCCTCCATTTTGCCCTCTGACAGTGAAGGTACCAGGCAGTTGCCAGCAGAACGAGTGTGAGAGGCAGCAGCAGCAGCAGGAAAAACAGATGACTGGACGGAGGCTCTGGACGCCCAGTGGCTTCTAGGGCTACAGGATTCTTTGGGGGTAGCAGGGTAGAGGACTCTGGGGAGAGAGCAGAACAAGTAACAGAGGGGACTCATCAGAGCAAACACTGAGTATCCTGGACTACGGCTGACGGTGCACGAGGGGCCCTCCAACAACCAGGGTCAAAACCTGAGTGAGGACGAGCCAGGCCTGGGCAGCACAAGCCTTTGATCAAGCATTCCAGAGACAAAGGCAGATGGAGCTCTGTGGATTTCAGATTAGCATGGTCTACATAGTGAGCTCCAAGACAGACAGGGATATTTAGTGAAACACTTTCAAAAATAAACCAAGTTGGATATAAAAAGTATGAGCCTGGGGCTGGAGAGATGGCTTAGTGGTTAAGAGCACTGGATGTTCTTCCAGGACCCAGGTTCAATTCCAGGTATCAACCTGGCAGCTCACAACTGTCTGTAGCTCTAGTTCCAGGAGTTACCAATCCAATACCCTCTTTTAGCCGGGCGATGGTGGCGCACGCCTTTAATCCCAGCACTCGGGAGGCAGAGGCAGGCGGATCTCTGGGAGTTCGAGACCAGCCTGGTCTACAGAGCTAGTTCCAGGACAGGCTCCAAAGCCACAGAGAAACCCTGTCTCGAAAAAAAAAACAAAAAAACAATACCCTCTTTTGAGCTCTGTGCACGTGCACACACACACACACACACACACACATGCACACACGCAAACTCGCACGCACACACAAGAGCACACAGATTAACAGAAATGGTTAATTTAAGTTAAAAAAAAATGCTAGTTACAACCGGGCAGTGCTGGTGCCACCTTTAATCCCAGCACTCGGGAGGCAGAGGCAGGCAGATCTTTGTGAGTTCGAGGCCAGCTTGGTCTATAGAGTGAGTTCCAGGACAGGTTCCAAAGCTACAGAGAAACCCTGTCTCAAAAAAACCAACCAAACAAATAAAAAGCTAGATAGAAACAAGCTTAGGTCTAGACAGATGGCTCAGCCATTAAAGGATAGGCTCACAACCAAAAATATAGCCTAATCTAAGGCCAAGAATTTATAATTATTAATGAGCATCCCATGTGGGGCTAGAGAGATGGCTTAGCAGTTAAGAGCACTGATTGTTCTTCCAGAGGTTCTGAGTTCAATTCCTGGAAACTACATGGTGGCTCACAACCACCTGTAATAAGATCTTGTGCCACCTTCTGGCTTGCAGGGACACATGCAGGCAGAATATTGTATACAGGGGGCTGGAGAGATGGCTCAGAGGTTAAGAGCACTGACTGCTCTTCCAGAGGTCCTGAGTTCAATTCCCAGCAACCACATGTGGCTCGTGGCCATCTATGATGAGATCTGGTGCCCTCTTTTGGCATGCAAGCATACATGGAAGGAATGTTGTGTACATAATAAATAAATAAATCTTTAAAAAAAGAATACTTTATCTTAAAAAAAGAATATTGTATACATAATAAGTAAATAAATATTTTTTGTTTGTTTTTTTGTTTTTTTTTTTAATTTATTTATTTATTAAAGATTTCTGTCTCTTCCCCGCTACCGCCTCCCATAAGTAAATAAATCTTTAAAAAAATAAATCTCTATGTCTTTATTTGGGAGATGACTGGTGGCCCAAAGAGAAAGCCTGCTCCAATTACTATATATAATTAATACGTGGTAACATGAAAAAAATCAAGTGCTATGAAGCCAGATGTGATGGCTTCACACCTATAATCTCAGCACTCAACGCCAGCTTAGCCTATATAACGAGACCCTACCTCAGAGAAGAAAAAAGGGGCTGGGGAGGTGGCTCAGCAGCTACGAGCACTGGCTGCCCTTGCATTGGATCTGATTTCATTTCCCAGCACCCACGTGGTGATCCACAACTGTGTAATTCCAGGTCCAGGGGATCCGATGCCCTCTGCTGGCCTCTTTCAGCACTAGACACACATTCAGTGCACTTACAGCTTGTAGGTAAAGCACTCATAAAAAAAGTAAGTCAAGCCGGGCGGTGGTGGCGCACGCCTTTAATCCCAGCACTCGAGAGGCAGAGGCAGGCGGATCTCTGTGAGTTCGAGACCAGCCTGGTCTACAAGAGCTAGTTCCAGGACAGGCTCCAAAACCACAGAGAAACCCTGTCTCGAAAAACCAAAAAAAAAAAAAAAAAAAAAAAGTAAGTCAGAGGGAGAAGGAGGAGCAGGAGGAGGAGGAAAGAAAAAATAAAGAGAAAAGAGAAAGGAGAAAGACCTTGTTTCAAGTTCCAGCTAGTGGAAGCAGAAGCCTCAAGGACACACAGTAAGCAAGCCTGGTGGTACTGGGGGTGCTGGTTTTCGGCGTTGCTGCTACCTGGTTGGCACTGCACCTCTAGGCACCGAGAAAAATTCTGGCAGGCCTTCCCCATGCAGGGCTTCAGAGCCAACAGCTGCGTGCAGGTGTCCTGCAGGAGGTGGGAGATGTTGGTCTGGACGAAGCGAAGACATTCCGGTAGAGGCTGGGAGCAGGGATGGACAGGTCATCACCATGTCACTCCAGAGGCTCCACCTACCCAGGGCCCTGACATGCAGAGGACACAGAGCCAGTGGGCCCAGGTCTCAAAGACTCCAGGGTCCTCCAGTTGTTAGAGGAGAGAACCCCTTAGTAATGCCTTCTTCACCTACTGAGGCACGGACCCAGTACCAGGTGACCCCAGGGCTCGGAGGTTCCAGCTCTGCCTCTGCGGTTTGCTGTGGGCAAAAGAACTCCCCAGAAGACCTAGCAGAGCTGAATGTACTTTAAGGCCCGGGGAGAGGGACTTGGCTCTTTTCGTTTGTTACCAAGTTCCAGTGCTAACCCGGAAGGCACATGAGGTGACAAAATGTATCTCCGTGTTGACAGCCTCCAGGAGTTTTTGCATCTCAGACCCTGCCACAGTCTTCAGCTGCTCCATCCAGCGCTGAGCCAGGAAGAGGCTCCACAAGGCCTTGCAGTGTTTCTCCTGCAGACCAAAACCCAAGCCAAATCACAGGGAAGAGGGGCGGAACCAGATGACTAACAGGGGATGGGCCCAGCCAGAGGTTGAGGGAGGGTGGGCGGGTGATGGCTGAAAGGGATGGGTGGGGCCAGATGACTGAGGGAGGGCGGGGCTAGGTGGCTGAAGAGGATGGGCGTGGCCAGATATCAAAGGTAGGTTGGGTGGGATCAGGGTACTGAAAGAGGTGGGGCCTTGCTAGAGACCAGAAGGGGTCGTGTGAGGAGGGACAAAACCAAACCCCTGAGATGGATACCAGGGGAGAAAAGTGGCTACAGGTCTGAAGATCCCTGACGGAGAGGCGGGGCCAGGGGCCTGAAAGGGAGGGCCCACTACACCTAAGGGAGAAATGAACAGTGAAACCAGTCTTGAGAGCTTGAGAGAGGGAGGATGGCGGGACAGACTTCTGAAAGATCGAGATAGGACGCCTGGATCTGATGCGGGGAGGCGAGGGTCTAAATCGCCAGATCTGAGGAAGCAGGAGGTGGCCCCATAGCATTGCCCTGAACGATGGCGCATCTTGAGTCTGGATCCCACCTCCATCCCAGGGCCCTCCCGACAGTGACTCACGTCCTGAAGGTTGATGGCCACAGTGACTGGGTAATCTTTAAGCAAGTAGTCAGTCTGTGGGGAGAAACAAGGAGAGACGACAAATTAGAGAGGATCGGAGGAGTTGGAAACAGACCCCGAGACAAGGGAACATGAACACAGGACCCACATAGAGAAGAAGGGACTCCAAGATACAGTAGGAAAGAGAGCCTCAGAGAAAAAGAACAGAGGTACACGGGCCCAGAAATTGAGAGCGACCCAGAGAGAAGCAGAGACAGACAGTAGAACAGGGACTCAGAGAGAGCGAGCCCACAGAGACACTGTGAGAGGCAGGGCAGGGCAGAGGTGTGGGGTAGGACCAGCACAGTGGTCTGGCCTGGGCAGGAGCCGGCTCACCAGCTCGCTGATCCTCAAGTGGAAGTTGGAGGAGATAGGACTGTGGCTGAAGTAGCAGTCAGGTGTCCCCCGCAGACAAGGACTCAGCAGCAACAGCAGCAGCAGCAGGGAGGACTACAGGGAGGTCGTGTCAGCACCTGACTTCCATGCAGGGGCTCCCTGTGTCCTGCTCCTTCCTTAACTGGGTGTCATCTTCCCTGTCTCTGCCTGTCCTGCGCCTTGGCTGCTGTGACAAACCTGTGTCCATATTCTCCATCTCATCCTGCACCGTCCTCTTTCTTCTGAGGCTGTCCCGGGTCTCTCTCTCCATGCCTCCATCCCTTGCCCATCTCCCTTCTCCGCCCTGCTCCATCACCCCTCAGGTATACGCACATTTGGACTCCAGGCTGGTACCAGCACTGTCATCTCGGCCGGGGACCCCTCATGCCTGTGGCAGGGTCTTGGGAGGGACAGAAGAGCAGACCTCGCACCCTGCAGCCCCTTACCCACTCGCCCCTGTGCCCCGCCGCCCCGCCCTGCCACCCTTGATGTGGGTGCGTTTCCGCCTCCTGCTCCCTCAGGCTTCCTGCATGAGCCCCAGTTACGGTGAAAACTCATCTCCCTTTCTAAGAACCCCGACCGACCGACGGTCCTGCCCCAGAATCCTCCCCAGCCTCGCACCCTGCTCTCACAGTCCGGGAATGGGGACCTTGGGACCGCCCCTCAGGGACCTAGAAAGCCATTCACCCCACGCACCAGGCTTGCCCCAGCTGGGTGTGGAAAGACCAAATTGGTGACAGCCAAAGACCGAAAGTGAAAGAAGCTTTGGGGTAGACAGGGCAAGGGGTGAGTTCGTGCCCGGGCGGGACGCGCCACCCAGCGGTGAGAAGTGGTGCGGCAGCAGGCCTCAGCTAGGACAAGCTCACGGACAGCATGAAAGATCTAAGGTTGCAACCAGGCCTTCCAGTAACGACCAGTGCCCATCACATCAGCTGCCACCGTACTGGCCTTGCCGCCACCATCTCCCACAAAGAATGTCACAGTGGCCTTCCTTCTGAGTTTCCTACTTCCCCAACTGCTCGCAGGGACACAGAACTTGTGAACCTGCCAGCCAAGTTCCTCCAGTCTCTGTGTTCTTGATTCTTTCTGGGCTTCAGCGGAGGCGGTGATGGTACAGATCGGTCACCCCAGTTACCAAGGAGCCTGAGGCAGGAGGACTGGAGATTAGAGGCTGGCCTTGGATTCAGAGCGCATTCAAGGCTGGCCCGAGCAATTTACTAAGACTCTGTCTCAAGCAGTATAAAGAGAGGGTCAGATACACAGCTCAGTTGGAGAGCAGCTGCCTTGAAGCCACGAGTAAGCGGCAGAGTACTTGTCTATCATGCTCCAAGCCCTTGACTCCAAAAAAGAGTGCCACAAAGATCTGCAGAATTTGGTCCTGTGCTGGGCTAACCTTGTTCGAATCCAACACTAGCCTGGTGTGTGAGGTGGGTTTACTCTCACCCCAAGGTCTTTGCACGGACTCAGCATGGGGGACACCCTCCCCTCCAGATACCTACGTCTGCCTCCATCTTACACACACAAGGCGGAGGCTTCGTGACTCCCTCTTCCAGGTTGCACCCCTTGCACTACCGGACTGACCCCCACTTTGCTCTTATCAGCACTGAACATGCCCTGTGGCTCCCTTATCTTATCCATTGTCTTGGCCTCTTCAGTGGCTGTCTCCACCCTGAAAAGTCCTTGCTCTGAGAACTCTGCCCGCCTGCAGCGTCAACCACACGCAGATTGTCCAGCAGGCCCTGACTCTTCCTGTCCATCATTGCTGTGGAGCACAGGTGGTGTTTGGGTTTGGTTTTGGTTCCTGGGAGATAAGTCCTCGGGATTTTCCAAGTATGGGGAGTGCCGTTGTTTATCAGGGCTGGCACCTGGGCTGCACCTGAGTTGCCCTTCAGAAAGGAGCACACTGTCCCTGAAAGGTTGAGAATGAAGACTGTGGCACCGTGGGTGTAGGAGAACCAGGAGTTCAAGGTTAGCCTTGGCTACATAAGACCCTGTCTCAAAAAAGGCAGGGATGGTGATGCCACCTTTAATCCCCAGCACCTAGGATCTCTGTGAGTTTGAGGCCAGCTTGGACTACATGGCGAGACCCCGTCTCAGGAACATAAGACAAAAGAAAACCCAACCAACCAAACAAAACTAAGCCAGGCTGGCAAGGTGGCTCAGCAGGTAAAGGTGCCAACTTCGAAGCCAGATAATCTGAATTAAATCTCTGGGACCCACAGGAGAGGAGAGAGGCCACCTCCAAAAACTGCTTTCTGACCTCCATGTGCAAACCGTGGCAAATGACATAAATAAAATTTGAAAAGGAAGGGGGCTGGAGAGATGGCTCAGAGGTTAAGAGCATTGCCTGCTCTTCCAAAGGTCCTGAGTTCAATTCCCAGCAACCACATGGTGGCTCACAACCATCTGTAATGAGGTCTGGTGCCCTCTTCTGGCCTGCAGACATACACACAGACAGAACATTGTATACATAATAAATAAATAAATATTTAAAAAAATTGAAAAGGAAAAAGTGGCTAAGGGTAGGACTGACTGTGGTGACACTTCCTGCTGGGCGATCCAGGACTCCCCAGCTACAGGTGCCACCCCCGAAAAGGTCCTCTCCTGTACTGCAGCCTAGCCCGGGCTACAAGAGACTCTGTTTCAAAAAGCCAGTAATAATGATGAAGATGATGCTGGTCTAAGTCTCCAGGACCCCAGTCTTTCCATCAAAAGCCCCCAAGCTGGACCACAGTCTCAGAGATGATGTGGGGTCTCTGTATCCCTTTTCCCACCATTCTTTGTTTGCGACCACAGTGATCTGAGGCAACTCCTATTTTAGCTTCCTGCTGATATAACAAGAGATTGAGTGGCTGGAAACAACACCTTATCTCCAGCAAGGCAGTGACGGCGCTCGCATGCATGCACGCATGCACGCACGCACGCACGCACGCACTCACGCACTCACGCACTCAGGAGGCAGATGCAGATGAATCTCTAAGCTTGAAGCCAACCTGGTCTACAGGACTGAGGGAGTTCCAGGACAGCTAGGGCTACACAGAGAAACGCTGTGTGTGTGTCTGTGTGTGGGGTGTTTGTGTGTGTGTGGTGGTGGTGGTGGTGGAGGTGGGGAGTTTATCTCCATTAGGTCTAAAGTCTAGAAGTCCAACTGGCTCCCTCTGCAGGACCCAGGGGAGAAGAGCTTTAGGACAGCAGCTTCCCGAGGCTCCTGGTGTTCTTGGGTTTGCGCCAGCTCCCTCAGTCTGATCACTGCTCTCCTCATGCACATGCCTCTACTGTGTCCTTTCGATGAGTCACAGGTTCCATGTTCTTCGATAATGCATGATGACGCATCGCAAGACCCTGCTGCCGCGGATCATACAGCACTTGGCTAGCAAGACCCTGCTGCCGCTGTGCGCTTCGCAAGACCCTGCTGCCGCGCATCATACAGAGCTTGGCTAGCAAGCGCAAAGCCCTGGATTCCATCCCCAGCACAGCAGAAACCAGGCTGGGCAGTGCACACCTGTAATGTCAGCAAAACCATCCTTCACTGAGACTGAAGTCAGCCCGAGTCTTGCAAAACAACCAGTCTTGCATCTCCAACTCCAGTCTGCCTAGGCTCCCCTGTGCTCCGAGTTCCGACTGCTGCTGTATAGATTGTGGGGTGCGCAGGCCATGGTTAGCATGTTCTTAGAGCACCAGGGAATCTGTCACAACCTGGTGCTGGCTTTGTCACAGTGAGAGCTTGGCTAGCCCCTGGTCCTCATAAGTTGTTGAAGTTTTTATCTACTCTTAACTGGGTCATGAGGTAGTAAACTGGACAAAAATACAATGTAGCTTCTCTTTGTGTAGCTCTAGTGAGTGAACCAGGGCTCACACATGCTGGGCAGGGCTCTGCTATTGAACCATGTCCCAGCCCCTTACTGGGGGATACTAGGCAGGAGCTCTACTGCTGGCCTACACCTCAAACACTGTAGAGTTTTCTGTATCTTCCTTGATCCACCTGCTCGAGGTAGATGGTCTGCAGCTCTACAGGTCCCTCCTGGGAACTCCGGCATGTATGTCTTTCTTTGGCCAATGACCTGAGAGTGAAAAGTGAAAGTTCTTCTTTTTTTTTTAAAGTGAAGGTTCTTCATGGTAGGCGTGGGAATGGGTGTGGGGAGTGGGCCTGAGTTGTGACTGTGTTGCCTTAACTTTCTCGTGTGTTGGAAACTGAACCCCACATTCACACTGTTAGCATCTCTAGCTGGAACTTAAATGCAGTGATACACTAGACTTGGTATTTCAGCACTTGAAGTGCTGAGGCAGGAGGATCACAGTAAATTCTGGAACAGCTTAGGCTACACAGTGAGTTCCAATTCAGCCAGGGTTGGTCAAACTCTCTCTTTGAGAGTCTTTTTTTAAAAATATTTATTTATTTATTATGTATACAATATTCTGTCTGTGTGTATGCCTGCAGGCCAGAAGAGGGCACCAGACCTCATTACAGATGGTTGTGAGCCAATATGTGGTTGCTGGGAATTGAACTCAGGACCTTTGGAAGAGCAGGCAATGCTTTTAACCACTGAGCCATCTCTCCAGCCCTCTTTGAGAGTCTTATGTAGTAGTTAAGGAAGTTCACAAAAACCCAGAATAAAAGATAACAAATGTTTACTGGGGAACACTCACAATAAGAAAGTTGCTGTGGTCCTCTGCTCTGTGGGCGCTGGAAGCTGCTAACAGAATCCAGACCATCAGCTAAGAGAGAGCAAACATGTTTTTTGTCTGCACTTACCTCAGACCACGTCCTAACAGGCTGGCACCCAAAGGCTGCTGGCTGAATGAACTCCCAAAACACCCTTACTACGTACACTATGTAGTGTAGCTCCGGCATGGAACAAGATAGAAAAGGCTGCGCTCAAACTCAAGGAGACCCTCTTGCCCTGCCTCTGGGATTAAAGGTCTGTGCTACCACTCCCAGCAAGACTCTGCCTCAGAAAACTTTAAAACATGGGACTGGAAAGATGACTCAAGATTAAAATCACATACAGGATCTGAGTCCAGTCCCATGGTGGGTGCAGCTCCATGGCATCCAACACTCTTCTGGCCTCATGTGCCCATATCCACTTACATAATAAAACTAGAGAAAACATTGTGCTGGCTGGGTTTTGTTGGGCTTCTCTGTGTAGCCCTCACTGTCCTGGAACTCTAGAGATCCCCTGCTGTAAGCTATAGTCATGGGAGGGGAGGAAGCTCAATCGGCTAAGATCTGGCTGCAGGCAAGCCTGTAGGGCATTTTTTTTTTTTCCGAGACAGAGTTTCTCTGTGGTTTTGGAGCCTGTCCTGGCACTAGCTCTTGTAGACCAGGCTGGTCTCGAAC